TAAAGTCACCTACAAGCTTAGATCTTGTCTCGAATGACTCAACGCCATTGGAGAATGAGTACTCAGAACGGGACTGCCTAATAATGTAGTATAGCCGTCCTTTGGGGTGAACTAGTCAGAACAATTGCGCGAGGACAGAAGTAAGATTATCCAGACGAGTGATGTGAATAAAAATTCACTCATTAACGTCGAATATCACTTCAGTGCTACAACTTGATGACGGAATCCTATGAGCACAGAAGTTCTATTGCCAGCGAAAAATCCTGCCTCAACCTACGCAATTATTGGAATATGATTTTTTTACGATATTACGGAATGGTTGGAGTGTGCGAATATCTATGATGATCAAGGCTCGTGTGTAAGCAAATATACTATGGCATGCTTCTCGAAAAGCTGCACACCATACGCCGGTGCACGATTGTATTGGAACCTTACCTGTGGGCATTCTAAGTGAGGTTTAGGTTCTCCCACATCCGTTCGAAACCGAAATTCAAGCCAACAATTATCCGAATTCTTTGTTCCTGATGAGTAGAACTTGTCAGTGAATCCTCCCGGGTTTTCGAATACTTTCCTAGGTTTTGTAGGTGGTCAATGACCGGCGAATCAAGCTCGGTGAGCAAAACAACAACAGGATCGACGGTGGTTTTCATCCTTTTAGTCTCACAAAAGGTGTTCTGAATGATCAACAGTACACTTTCGAGCTGTGAAGCACTGACAGCAGCAGAATGATTCAACCGATAACTACATGGAAGACAAACTAGTCTCGAGCAGTACCATCACCCTACTTGGAGTTTCAACGAGGGGTGGGGGATTATTAGGACAGTGATACAACAGAGCTAAGGGCCAGTGACAACGGATGGTATACATAAACGGTTGTCACTCGTTCAAAAGCCCAAACGATTACAGAAACAGTCAGCTGAGAACTATGGCTGTCAGCAGGACATATGAAGGAAACAAACTCGCACCGTTCGTTTGCCCGATAACGCTGACGATGTATCTAAAAACAGAGTGGATTTGACGAATCTTAGTGCCCCTACAATTGATAGCTTTGAAGACTCGGAAAACCGTACTGCTTCATCTTGGGATGTCTGGAACAGACAAGGCTTCTATGGTGTGGAGAGCGGACTATCGAATCAAATTCCTTGGTCATGCAAAGTTGTCGACTCCCTTCGTTTGACCTTTCTAGTGTTATCAAAGGACCTAAATCATTTTCTGTGCAACTGTCCGTGAGCTCGCGCTCACTCCCAAAGGCCAAGAATCTTCCTCCCACGAAATCCGATAGCTATTTCCCGCCCAGGATGGTTTCGTGATTTTCTGTGTCAACCTGGTGTCAAGTTGCAGTCCGTCGACGATGCGTCAGCATGCGAACGACGTGATCAAGGCCAAGCAGCAAGGTCATGTCCATGTCAAAAACCTAAACCCTGTGTGGCCACAGTGATTTCGTGGCCCATTTCACATTGTTAGTGAAATGGGAATTAGCTGTAGTTAAAACTAAGGATAAGACCCATGACTATAGGAAGACTTCCTAACTTCCCCATTGGCGTATACGTGGAATAAAGAAGAGTACGCGGCACCCGGCTGCTCCGACCAAGAAATAGTAAACAAGGTCCCGCAAGGCTACCAGGTCTATTGGAATACGGCAAAACAGAGCAATTTTGATACACATTCGTCGACCTTCGAAACGAAGTGATTGCACAATACGAAGATTAAAACTGATGGAACTGCCCGGTGTGTTGACCACTCTAACCATTCGCTAACGAATCATAGGAGTCTCAGGTCTGCAATACATGTTGGCAGAGAAGTGAAGACGGGCATGACGCAAGGAAGTAGACCGCATGACTTCTGACAACTTCAGAAACCCAAGAAATAGTTTTCTTTGATGTAAAAGGGGTTCGATGCTGGCTAACCTCCAGTATTTGGATATGAATCCGGAACTCTGGAAAATCGGAGTATCATCTTTCGGATTACTATACTGTGTGCTGGTACTCAATTAATGAAGATCCACGCGCGCGAAACAAAAGATTCCAAGTATGGTGGCTACAAAACTACCGATAAAAGGTCGCCGCAACCAATTCGCCCCGGTTGATTGCAAAAAATATAAAGTCACATAATATATCTTACGAATGCCACACTTTTACTATCCATGGTAAGGGATTCGCTTAGTAAAGAAGGAATGCGTTTCTAAGCGTGAGGCATCACAGGCTCATTCGAAATCGCCCTAATTAGGGGTTTTATCGCCTAATTGAGAGGCTGTTTTATTGCGGACATTGTTTTCAAGGAAAACGGAGGTCCAGTCGCTAGGCAACGAAATACAGTATGGATGTAATTTCATAACAAAATTCAGGTGTACCTTGGCGAAACCATGCACACCGCTAATGATGTCTACTTGAATGGCGACGGAATGCTTGTCAAGCTCTGAACAAGTAGCCTATATAGCAATGCCCATTCACTAAGTCCTTCAAATCACTCTCAGGCGTCTGAAGCATTATGCTGTCGTTCATCCGTGGTGACCGCATGGCGTATGGGAGCCGCGCAGTCTGTGGGAAGCATGAATCTACGTGACCGGCTTAGAAACGCGCAACCAAGAACCATTCGAATAGCGGATCTTCCGGCTAGGAATCAGTATCTACCTTGTGTTGTATTGTCAGTCACTTTGATAGGTCCGAAAATAATTGCCCGGAAGAGGCCTGTACAGTGAAAGCAGAGTTTGTACAGCCGCACATGGCGTCAAATACAAAGTTACCGTAAAAGCGAAGGAACAGATTAGAGTGATCTCCCAAAAGGAGGCCAGCGCGGACAAATAGGGATTTGGGCTCTCTTGAGGGCGATATGTCTTTTGGGGGGGTTTCGCACAATAAGTCGTATTGAAGACGAACGCTGTTGTACTCTCTTCCAGAATTCGATCCCCCTTCAGATAGTTTTCTATGGGGCGGACTGTACTCGGGCAAAAGTTTCTAAGAATGCAAATTTTCACGCCGAGGTCTTATTTACCGCAAGTATATCGGTCGAATGATTCGACTCTTAAAATGCCTTGATTATACACACTGGAGTGAACTGCATCCGCTAAAGATGAAAACTGAGCCGCAAGCAAACGGACAGAAGTCGGCGTATACAGTAGGTAAGTTAGAATTTCGAAGCATAGGCGCAACAGTGCCAGAAAAGAACAGGAACGGAACAGATAAATAGATGAGAGGGGGACACATCTGCCTACAGGCAGACAGTTTACGAACACGGGCAAAAACGTTACAACGAGCAGACTACCGATACGGGAGAGGGAGGATGGGAAGGGAAGCGCAACACAACTGATCAGAATGTGAATTGACGTCCCTCCCTCTTTCAGGTTGTGCAGCGAGAATGTACATGATTTCGATCTGACAAAAAGAATGTGGAGAAAATGCATTGCTTTCTCTTGGCTTGGAAGCGCCAAAGAAGACAGGCGCCAGGGGAATTATACATACATGAACACAGGCATGAAAGAGCAGACGGGATGGTGGATGAAAACTGCTTGTTCGATGGCAACTTGCAGTTCCTCAGAGAAGGGGTACAGATCAGCAACGACCTGCTAGATGGCAGAATAAGATGAATCATTTCAATTACGAGGCATCCATCAGATGCATCAGGTTTGTCCTACGACTGAGGTGGGTACTGAGATGGGTTTATCTCTACGAAGGCGCGTGTCCAAACCAGTGAACAGAACAAGGTGGACAGGGTGAACGCTAAGCCAGATACTCGTAGGAATCGCGTTCGTTGGTATCCCGTTTCAAGTATTCTCGGTCAATCAGGTCGGCTATACAACGCTAAAAGGCAAGAGTGAGAACGTTACGGACTTCAACAATATACGAATTGGGCGAACTCAAAAATGACCCGTATTACTTGAGTCTTTCAAGAGTCGAAATAGCACTAGTTGCCATCTGGAAATGTTACATGACCACATACCATCGGCGATTGAGAAACCTCATGCAAAAGAACTTTAAGAAGAAAAAACAAATATCGCCGTTCAACAAAACCGGGAAGTTACCTTAATTAGTGATATGGCGGGTTTGAAGCGGGCGGACAACTGCGATATGACTTCGTTGATCAGTTGTTGGTGCTTCATAATCTTTCTCGTTTTCATAATTCGGACAATGCATGCCTAGAGGTAGAAGCCACAGAAATGAGAATTTCGTTTATTGTGAAAAAGAACTCTGGAAAACAAGAAAGAGCTCATAACCAATGATCTATCGAGTAAAAAAATAAGGGTGTTTACTTTTTTCTGAAACAGATAGCGCGGCTAACGTTAGTCGTCACCGAGAGATCGACAGACGTCTAGTGTTCATAGCGAAGATCCTGGTGATAGCGGATACAACTAATGGAAATTATCATAGGTCAGTCGCTGTCTCCAATGGTGAAACGACATAAGTCGGGGATTCGATATCAAAGAGAAAGCTGATAACGCAGAACCAAAGAGCAAGACAAGAGCCTTCTCGTGGAAAACGGAGTAAACGTTTTAACTGCGTATAAATCATTGTGCGGCTTAATTTCAACCAGATATAACCAGTACAAGAATATTGTTGTACCATACACATCTGTCAAGCCATTCTGCTTATTTGAAACTGCCTACTCCCAGACCAGTGTTACCGACTTTTTGTTTCGAAAATGTTTCGATCTAGTGGCATTACCAACAGGGGCTCCGCAAGAGAATTCTACTTTCCCTAAAGCGCTGTTTTTTGGGATGCCTCCTGATTACAGGAGCCTGACCGTGCTACTTGACGGTGTCTGCAAGGTTGTGACATTAGCTTACCGAGGACAAGTGACAGCGTGGCAAGATAAACAAGTAGATGGTGTTGGATTATCCATTTCACTAGTCTAGTCTAGTACACTTTCAATCGAAATCGTCTTTGAAGTTACTTTCGTATACTGACGAAAGTGACAACACATACACATGCGGTTTATGACTGACTTGTGACCTGAAATTGGAGTGGGGGTAAATAAGAGCAAGCAAAAGCGGGCTACCGACTTACCTGGACAAACAATTTTCGATCCAAATCCACATTACCCAGTGTCTGTTCTGTTTCTTGTTTGGTCTCACTCTTCAGTGGGACATTCAAGTAAACGCGAACCCGTTTGCTATTGTGGGAAGGAGGAGAACAGAATTCAGCAATTCTGGTGAGTGATGAAAAAACGTGAATGCAGAATAATTGTGGTTGATAGCCTCTTGACTTCCTTAGTCGCTCCTAACTAGGTCTGGACATCCCAACCTGTGTACGGATGTGTTGCAGACCGAGAGGTTCATGTTTTCACTGAAAATAATTGGGCTAAATATTAATTCATAACAGCAAAATGATACCGACAAGCAGATGTAGATAGCCAAATGCAATACAAATAACCTTTCTGGTTGCCGCTTTGAAAATCCTTTCACCACGTGCACAAGCTACGAAAAGGATTGCATCGGAAATGAGTGATTATGTGACCACGTGACTGAGTGAACAGATAGCCTAATATAAATAGCCACACGATCAGCTGAACCAACCATTGACATACAGGATTTCAGGGCTGATGGTCACCTGACTGACAGTGGATGTGACAGCAGCAGTTATCGATCCGACAGAGCCAAGCAGGCCAGGAAGACATGACTGAACGAGTCGAAGCAGGTGGATACGACAGCGGTACGGAACAAATGGCGTTCAAAAGGTCAAAAAGTGTACGTCACAAACGAAAAGAGTGTGGAATGATAGGAGCTTGAGTGGCTGGAGCGAAACAGTTTTTTCTTGTGAATTTGAGTTCAGAGTTCGATTGATGATCAGTCGCATGCTACCTATGGGTTTACATTACCTACCAGGCCATCCAGGATGAAAGCCCCCCTACTCATTACGGACAACAGAATCGATATGGAATATGGCTTTTTGACTGCCGTGTAATGATTTTCGAGTTACCGGAATAAAGCCCCGTAATAGAAAAAAGGACGAGGGGAGTTGATGACAAGTTAACCAGAGCATTCAGAGTGCCCACACTTAAAACATTCACACAGACTTTATTGAATATTGTGCCAACGGCGGCGTGAGACAGCCCGTTTGCTGAATATTGTGAGGAATAATATCAATATGGTATGAACTCCATCGAGTCTTTAGGGTATGTAATTTCAAATTGTATATGAGCTCGAAAATGGCTTGACAACACTACTGAGGTTCCGGCCCAGAGAACCACAACTATATGTGCCATCAGTCTCGTGTTTTCCGTGAAATCAGGAGTTTCAAACATTCATGTGGAATGCAATAATTCGGGTGAGTCCATCATGTGGGTAACACGCTCCCCTAGAAAGCTTCAGCAAGCCTGATAAACTCTAAGAGCTGAACTCGGATTCAGCTTTTACATCACAACTGCACGGCTAATCAAGGCAATCATCATGTCAGAAGGAATGTTCAGATGAGGGTGAGGTGAGTACGAATTCCACTGTTACCAAAAACAAAGTCTGGTCTCATGGGTTAGCTGATTATAAGGCACAATTTAGTCGATCAAACGCATAGCGTACAAAGTGCTTTTACAACCACTTGTTTTTATTTTCTCGACCCATACTTAGCTTATAAGTTAGAAAGTTCGGAAACGCCTCTTGGCATGGTTGTTCACTGCATACGGTTAAAATCGTGCTCCCAATTACACTGAACTCAGAAAGCACTGTTCCACGTTGGGTGAATGCAAGACGATATCCGATCAGCTGCACTCGATGAAGACCATTCCCACAGATTCGACCAATGACGTTTCAAGGCCGTGACCACAATATTCCATTGATCGTGAGCGACATCACCCAATGCCGTGTTCATCTCCTGTGAACAAGTGTTCGGTTGAACCAATCGGACCATAGCATGAGGATCAGTGCCGTCGGAGGTTGGAGGCAGATCGAGAAGCCGGACTGACCAGTCTACACTGATTCTCTCAAAAACGTTTGCGAGACGGATGATGACCGCACCCAACTAGGTAACACGCGCCTCAAAATCAATTTTGGGTATCACAAGTGCCCAACAATACAGTGCTCCCTCTGTATAATGAAATTTCGACTGAGTGAAGTCTTGAAGGTAGAAACAACTTGACGAAATTACGAGTAATTGCAACTTTGTGACGCTGACCCTAGTTCGCTTGTTGTACGGAGTGAAACGAACCGAATCTCCCTCATTCAAAACAACGTGAGACCCGATAGACGATCACTTGTGTGTGGTTTGATGCGCCTAGTTTCTTCGAATTGTGTTACGGTGGCAAGGTGATTATACCGATGGCTCTAGTGAATCAGCCATTCTTCTCTAACAAATCAAAGTTGTGCATTCTAGTTAAGTAGGGCGGAACAATTCAGCGATTACTAGCGCGCATAGCATTAGCAATTACAAGGGACAACACGCATCATAATGCAACAAACTAAATGACAGTTTATACAAGGCGGCTCTACGTGGGACCTGTCGTGAATATAGAGAACTAATTCACTTAACTTCATAAAAACCATCCGGGAATAATCGAAAACTACTTCTTGGTGCCCGGAAGAGTTGGTCAGCGCCAAGTTATTGGGCTAAAGCAGTTGATTCGGAAAGCATGAGATGGGGCAAAAAATTTGTATACAGTACGGATGTCAAACATGATGTCGCAGCTGATGACATCGGTGAATAGTGCGCTTCTGCTTAGACTATAGACCGAACGGTGTCGTTAATCTAAGGTGAAACAATACCAATATTTTGTTGTTTTTTCTCACCGGAGTGCACTAACGTACTACCACAAAATAGCTATTCTGGATTGAAGAAAGCCCAAGGATGTTTGACTTGCAACGCCTTGATGTAGAAGTGCTGGCGAAGAACTGACGCCATGTGTGACCAAAAGGGGTGCTGATTAGTAAGTACAAATTGATGGAAAATACTGGTAATTTATAAACACACTAGTGAATGCCCTGAACATAATTTGATGCGACGAATTATCGACATCAAATAAAGATGAGCGTGCAAGCCGACCGTGAAGTGTGGTGGGCACAGAAAGCCAAGTAAATGGAAGAGACCCAGAAGGCCGATAATGCCCGAAGATTATTCGTTGGTCCGTGCGATCGGGCCCCGGAAACCACCTTTGAGCGAAGCCATCAGGGATAGGAATGAGTGACCATCTCGAATAAAGAACACCTCGACCGGTGGGCTGAATATTTCGAGCAAAAATTGTCATGGCCTCCAGCTGGTAATCGCCTGGACCCCACAGGTTACGTAGAACCCTGGACGGTGAACGTCGAACCACCTACGACTTCGGAGGTTTATGACTGTATATGTTCTCTTGAGCGCCACCGAGATGCTGGTCTGGATGACGTCCCACCTGCATTGTTCAAAGACGGGGGTGAAATCCTCTGTCAACGCTTGCATTTCGGAAGTCAGTGATAGTACCCATTTTCAAAAAAGGGGCTCGTAGTGAGTGTGGAAACCACAAAGGATAAGTTCGACCCCGGTTGTAACGAGACTGTTGGCGTCACTGGTGCTTCCTCGCCTTGCGATGGCCCGTAGACGCTGACTCGAGAGCAGCAAGCGCGATTCCGGCCTGGTAGGGGTTGCGTTGACCAAATCTTTACACTCCGTCAGGGGCTGGAACAACGCCATACGTATAAGCGATCCAAAATTCTAGTATTCCTGGATTTCCGAGGCGCATTCGACTCGGTTGATCGGTCTGTTCTTCTTGAGACGCTTGCCCACGAAGGAATGCCCCGGAAGTTTGTTAACATAATAAGCTCTTTGTAATCTCCAGACTTCCAGACATGAGATTATACGTCGAGCTCTCCAAAAGCTTCCGTACACAAAGTGGTGACCGTCAGGGATGCCCACTCTCTCCATTCCTACTTAACATCGTGATCGACGAGATAATAACACGAACGCTTGAAGGTCTCAAATAGCCTGTGAAGAAAACCTTGTCGATCTGGAATATGCAGACGACATCGTTCTCGTGTACGAAGAGGAGGAAAAGGCGCAAGTATTCTTGGATGAACTGACCAAAGTCCTTTGGTATGCACTTTGCACCCACAAAGTGCAATATCATGCTCGTGGACGTGCAGTGACTGAACACACCACTTACAATCCAGGGAGAGGTACTGGAAGTTGTGGAGCGTTTCACGTATCTGGGAAGCTGTATTAGTTCTGACTGTAGTGTGACAGATGAGGTGAATGCACGAATCTGCAAGGATCGGGCCGCGTTTGCTAACTTGAGACACCTTTGGCATCAGAATGGTTTATCCCTGAATCTGAAGGGACGTGTGTATCAAGCTACAGTACGGGCTGTTTTGTTGTACGGCTGTGAAACTTGGCCTGTTCGAGCAGCGGAACTGAGACGTCTTCAGGTGTTCGACAACCGTTGTCTCAGAACCATAGCTCACGTGGGTTGGTGTCGGCGAATCCGTAATGAGGCAGTTAGAAACCGCGTTTTCGGTTGTGCGACGGGTACTTTCATTGAAGAATGTGTCCAGCACCAGAAGCTGCGTTGGTTGGGACGTGTTGCGGATGCCTAACCATCGTTTGCCGACGAGAATGCTATTTTCCATGCCCAACTCAGAGTGGCGTAAACAGAGAGGTGGCCAACCCTTGACTTGGCAGAGGAGTATGAAGGAGATCACGAAACGCTTGGGTGCTGCCGATCCTACTCGCCTTCCAGGATTGGGACCGCGTGGTCCTCAATGCTCCTGCAAGATATGGCTGCCAACCGATGTCAGTGGCGATCTTGTTGTCAGTTTCTATCCAGATTGCCTGAATGAGTGTCCGGAAGTGTAGGCACCTCGGAATGATTGTAGTAAGCTAGCACTAAGCTCCTTCCCATTCCACCTTTATTCTCTTCTTCACAATAAGGATTTCAAATAAATCATGGTTGTACGGCAGCGAAGCATCGGTGTTGAACACTCATGGCATGCTGTCGATGATGATGTATGCTCAAGATAAGGTAGAAAGGATGATTTCAACAGTGATTCGCACACTACAGATTCTATGAAAACTGCGCCATTCCGGCACAGCTCTGATCGCACGTACCGGGTTGGTGATGGCATGGTTTTATTAGGTATGACGTAAACATCGCGGATGGGCGTGTGACATGCACGTGCATCTAGTCGCGAACCTTAGTATACACGTTTTGGTAAAAGCACCCTATTAAAAACCCGACATAATCACGAGGATCATGAAAAAAGCGAACTTTCACAGATGTGTAACGTCAAAACAGGTGGTGTCAACTGAGTATTGACAGTTGTGCGTCAAGGAGACATACCCAAATTGCTGTGATACGCGAAAGATCTGTACAAGCTGCTCGTGGGCGCGCGGAGCGGCTCAACTAGTCGGATCAGAGCTATTACAGTAGCTTGCAAAAGTCACGAAAAAACGAGCTCCTCATGTCGCCTCGCACTAAAGCACAGCTTTTATGAATAGCGGTTCACCTACTAGATACGCCTTGCTCGCGCAACTCGACGCGTTCGTAATCAGCTCAAGGATATGAACAGCTTCGCTGTCACTGTAGACAGTCACTATGCCCCAGTCTCCTGGCAACGATATCCAGAAGAAATAGTGCCAGATAACACGCTGTTGCCGAAGCGGAAAGAAGGACCAGTTTGTACCCTGAAAATACATGTCTGCAAGATATACGCGTAGCAGCTGTTCGGGAGATGAAGAGACATGAAAACTTGTTGGAGCAAACACAAAAACGGTCAGTGAGAGGGATTAAGTTATCAGTGTTTGCGACGAACAACCATCCGTGGTATCCGCGCTGAAAAATTCAATCTTTTGCGCTGCAAATCACCACATGCCACATTCTTCCACACTCGGCAGTCCTCGGGAAAACGTGGTGTATTGCTCGATGGACGGTATTCCTTATTTTTTTGAACCCATCAGTGACAGAAACTGCGTTCGAAGCGTTCGCTCATTTAGTCTACAAACGATCATACGGAAGTTGGTAAATTCGAACACATTGGAGAGGTATTAGCATTCCAGAGAGAATGACAACCCACGTAGTGCAGCAACATGCAGTCATATGGTCGTACCAAAGCAAGAATCACTGCAAATGAGTGACACTAGCTGAAATCGTTCTCTCGCGCAGCGACTCTCAACAAACTAATTCAATTTGCTTTAGGATGAATACTTCAGAGATATTTTTGCGACATATTTGAGGTAGAGATATGTTCAGCGTTATATTAGTGCTCGACTTCACTATCATCGCAGTGTTGCAATTCTGACAAAAAGCCCTATTTCTCACAAGATGGGCCGTTCTCATGGTTCTTGGATGATCTTGGCTTCGAAGCTGTCCAAAGCTCTTCAGATGTTTTGTTTTTTGAAGGAACACAATTCATCAGCATCATCATCGACAGCCCACGACCGGTCTCGCCCATCCACTTCAGGCTCATCGGGTTGTCGTTCAGCTGTAGCACGCTTTCGGTGCCTAACAGCCAAGCCACCAGAGGGAAACACGAGGGCTGGGATACTGCCAGGCTGCTCAGCCCTAGACAGGGGAAGTCAAGAGGCAGAGGTCGGATTCAAACCACGGACCTTCCGGTCAGCAAATTCGCGCTCTGACCACTAAGCCATCTCGCTCCCCGTCAACCTTATTTTCTACTTGAACCCTAATTGCACGAAATTCGACGTACACTAGTTTGCATACTATTTTGGTTTTGACAGAAGGCTCAACTGAATTCAATTCATCCGGTTGTTTAAGATGTTTTTCAACTGAATCTGTTGCACAAGGCCTCCTCATATTTCAGTTGGTACGATATTCGAGATATCGCAGTGCAGTATCAAGACGGAATACACTATTCATAGGGCCGCTGCAACCTCAAATGTTTTCCACTAGCATCCTATTGCATTTTGTTTTCTCATAGGCTCTCGAGGTCTCTTTACCTGAAGACAATAATTGACCGTTTCAATCCAACACACAGTGCCAATAATTCATCAGTGGAAGCCAAGCTCTCCGGATCCAGCATATGATACCAAGTCCCCGATCAGGTGTTATTGCTAAATGCGCGTCACTCTGTTCTTTTCAACTTGGATCACATGTTTTGATGAGCAGAGATCAGTAAGGAAAAACTCAGCTGATGCTACCGTGGTATCTTGATCCCTAGGTAGTCTTGGTTGATCGGTGGTGGGTTGGGTTTTGCGTGCATCACCGCTACATCACAATAGAGAAAAACCACTCGACTAAAAGGTAGTTGTCGTTTAAAACGCGTGGCTTCAGGTTCCTACCACGTCTATTCGCTAATTTGACGATTATGGTTGCTCCGATCTTTCTAAACCGATTATATGGATCAGGTATCGTATCAACAAGTACAAACCCCGGTTTGTAACACTCGCATCAGTTGATTTCTGATCGAGTGCTGTATCCCCATAGGGGATTTACTGTTTGTCGTCCGCTATAATAAAGCGCTTCAAGTATCGTAAAAACGGTCTTCAGGAGCAACAAAACTAGTCTGTTGGGGTGAAAGCAGATACCATAAACAGGCAACTACCAACAGGCATCCAGTCAAACAGAGACCTTTCAGCTCAATGGCTTCGAACAGTATTAACACCTGCGAAGTCAGTCGCGAGGGTTCCCGAATCACCGCAGTTGCGTAACTGGAAGCGATGGGGGAGTCAGTTTAACAGCCGTACTTGGATCTTGAGTCCTCGTTTCAAAAAGATAACACACGCCAATAGCGTAGGAGTCCAGCGTACAAGTAGGAGCAGCCATTTGTCCAGGTTTTTTCAGAGTGCGGACTAAAGGCTGCCAAACGAACTGGGGCTTGAAGAATCAATTTGAAGCGTTCACAGCCGCCCAGCTACGGACTCGTCGGTCCGTAAGAATGAACCTACGCAGAAGTCTCTATATAGGAGGTGAGGAAGAGAAAAAATACATGGAAGAGGAGAGGCAACAGCAATTTCCAGTTAGCGTTTATCCGGTCTGATGTACACAGCAAGTAAGACGACCCGGCTGATGGCACCGGGCGACGGCCAATGTAGCACGAGGTCATTTGAAACTGTGCAGTTATGTAATTGCTTGAACATGTATTGCGACACCACAAGGTGAGAATATCGCGGCGTTTCTGAAACCAATGGTTTTGAAATCCATACCTTTGCCACTCGACTTCCCCTGTCTAGGCTTGGGCGACCTGGCAGTATCCCAGCCGTCGTGCCTCCTTCGTGTGGCATGGTGGCTAGGCACCGAAAGGGTGCTACAGCTGGACGATTTTGATTTTTTTCCATACTATATTTAACACGGAAAAGAGATGATGAATGAGCGACATTATCCAAATTGCGATAGAATTGCAGAGCAGAAATCGGACAGCTGATGAAAAATTCAACCACTACTGTATCCGTCTGATGCACTTAGTAGACAGCTAAGTGAAAGTGTTATACGGCTCATTTTCTCAATCGCCAATACAACGATTAAGAAATATGAAATCAGCTACGAGCTAATCACAGGGATCGTGATAAATTAGCGGAAAATGAGTGTTTGGATGCCCATCGGGTGCTAAGGTTAGAAACCACATCCATTACCAGAAACCAATATCACATGGTGATGTGCTGCGTATGGCGAATCCTCAGTTACCGATAATGTTATTCTCGAGACCTTGAGTTCAAACAGCGTAGACTGATGCGGTTCTACGGCAGTGAAGCAGCAGTGATTTTCTCTGGTGTTGCTGGCACCAAAAATAGTGCTGATAATAAAAGTAATTCTGAAGGATCTGAGTAATGTTGGTGCATCTTGCCTTCAAGTATGGTTGGGACATGTGTTGCCGAAACACCGTCTACCGAGAGGAGTGTTGTTCTCCGTGCCTCCTTCAGAAT